TTGGACACGTGGGGTCCAGGGAAAGTTTTGTTTGTTTGTTTTGATTGTAGAAATAACAGCATAGTTGTCATTCAGCAGGAGTGATGCAGTAAGAGAGCGGAAAATTGATGGCAGAAGACAGACTCGCTGCAGGGGTCCCTGGGGTGGTGGGAGAGCAAGAGACATAGAACACTAATTGAGGACTTGGCATGGGTAGGAGCTCAGACCCATCGCCTGAAGCCATGGTGGGGCGGGGGAGGCATGAGCACAGTCACAGGAAGGGGCATGGGAGGGGGAGCCTGTGGAGCTTCTCTTCCGTAGCCCCAATTTCCTGGTGAAGCAGGAAGTGAGGTCCGAAACTGGGGGCAGGGGTGTCACAGCAGAGATTTGAGGGCAGAGAACAAAGTGCCAAATGGTCATCTAGGAGATCTGGAAAGGGAATGGCCTGGGGGAAGGGAGCAGGAGGGCCCAGCAGTGGTCATGACCTTGAAGTGACCCCAGAGAGCACGGTCAGGTGTGTTCGCTGGCCACGCTCAACTGGCAGAGGAGAGTTGGGATCCATCACGGTCAGGGCTTGCCCAGCAAGTGTAACCAAGTGAGAAGCTCAGGGCAAAGAGTGACGGCCAGGGAGTGCCTGCCATGGATGCTGGGCAGACGGAGGAGGGAGATGAGGACAAAGAGGTGACAGAGGAAGGGGAGAAACTGGGTGTTCAGAAGACTGCAGGTCATGGGGAGGAGTGGAATAATCGTTGGAATCAGGGTCCTGGAGAGAGGGAGTGGAGAGGCAGGTCAGAGGGTTGGCACTTGGAGGTGAGACAGGGAGCGGTGACAAGCTGAGGGCAGAGGTTCCCAAAGTGTGGCCTCCCTTCGAGCAGCATCACCTGGGTGTGGCTTAACAACCCCCCCAGAGGATCCTGATGCCCCTCAAGGTCAAGAACTGCTGGTAGGGTGTGCCCAGGGGGGTGAGTAGCTGGAGAGTCACGACTGGGTCTTTGGAGAAGAGGCAGGAGAGCTGAGGAGCCAGGGACAGGAAAGGGCCATGACTGCGTGTGCTGAGATCACTTAGATCCAGTGGGAGAGAGATTTGAAGAGGTTCACAAACCTGCAAGGAAGAGGCGGGACTGCCCCTGACCCGTAGATGACTGCTGCACTGGGGAGGTGGTCGCCAGAGCCTCAGAGCTTCCAAGCTGGCGGGTTCAGGGAGGAGGAGGGGCAACAGCAGTGGCAGGAGGAGCAGGTGTGACAGGTCGCTCCCTGCTCACCTGCAGGCCAGGGGTACAAGTGTGCAGGAGGCGGTGCAGGGGAGGACAGGCCTGGGGCAGCTGGGGCGTGAGGCTTGGTGAGCAGCCCAACGGGGACAGAGCACTGAGGCTGGAGTTGGATGCAGGGCCGTGCTCTGTCCTTCACTCCTGCAGTTCAGCCCGGACCGTCTGGCAACGAAGGTTGACCATTGTCCTGAATGCAACATTTTTGTCCAATTTTTATCTTTGTAGAAGATTAAGACAGAAAGAAAAAAAACACACATTAAATGTCACCCCTCAGAAATATTGGTCCCCACCACTTGTGTGCCTTTTCCTTTAAATGTCCATCTTCGCATCTCCTTTTCTGTGCATGGAGGTAATTTGGAAGATTGAGGTGATACAGAGAATAGTTGGGCTGTCTGCCTTGCTCTTAGTTCTGTGCCTGTGTCATTCCGTATTTGTGACTAGGAAGCCGGTGGGATGACCCAGGGCACCTGCAAGCAGCTTCACTTTACAGGTGAGGACACTGAAGTTCACAGGAGCAAGGTGATTTGCCTTGGATGGGGACAAAGCTGGGCGCCAGCCTCCCTTTCTGTCCTGGGGTCAGAGCTGACCCAGGCCTGTGGCACCCCACAGGACACCAGTGTTCAGCTGGGTGGAGCAGCAGCCTCTGCTCGCTGACGGCTGACCCAGCTGGGGGACCCTCCCGAGGACCTGGCAAGGGAAGACCCTGAGCTCAGCCTAGCAT